TGAGTGAACGACGACATTTTGTTTCGTTGATGTCCTAGGGGATCATACAATCTAAATCCTGCAACAAACAAGAACAGCTGTACAACACACCTTTGACCTTTTCTCACAGAAAAAAGAGATCAAAATATCCAAGGATAATATCTCCAAATGAAAAGATCCATATTATTTAACAATATATATATATATATATATATATATATATATATATATATATATATATATATATATTCTTTTTTTATAGATACAAATATTTAAGTAAATGATCTGTTTATAATAAACAGTATTAACGGCCTGAATGACGGAGACATTTTCATAGAAAATATGCGTCCTCCGACAGGAATTGAACCTGTATCCTACACGGAACCATCATATAGCCTGACGTGCATTACCGATTTAGCCACAGAGGAGCGTTTCGGTTAGCAAGGTGGATTTTACTGTTTTTTTTAACTACAATTCTCCGTGGTTTTTTCTCGTACATTCATATCTGCTCGATGAGTATCCAAATGTAAGCGAATAACGTCACATATTATGAACTGAACAAATAATTGTCTGACTGTGTCCATTACATTATATATATATATATATATATATATATATATATAGGCAATTTTTATATACATTATTTATATATTATATATGCGCCGTACTTATTAGAAAGCGTTCAATATCATATATTGATATATGATAGACGTAACATATTTGGTAGGGTTGATCACATCAATCCAACTATATATATATATATATATATATATATATATATATATATATGTGTGTGTGTGTGTGTGTGTGTGTGTGTGTGTGTGTGTGTGTGTGTGTGTGTTTGAAACAGTACAGAAGCGTATTAAAGCATTAACAACAAGAAATTTTATATTGTAGGCCATGATAGATTTAAAACAAAAACACACACCAGTCGACCGGTTTCGTCCCCTCTCATCTGAACTGTTAACGGGGAACTGAAATTATTAGGAAAAGAAAAAGAAAAAGTCTGTCATGGATGACATGAATGAGTGGACAGGGAGAAAAAAAATATTATAAAAATTATACCAACAACGATGCTAGAAGCGCAGCACAGCAAGTCCAAGCAAACAATCTCTTTGTTTACAAAGAGCAGGTTGCCTGGACCTGATGTAAAGCGTCACCAACACCTTAAGATGGAATAATGAGTGCGAACTGGCCAAAACGGAAAACCAGTTCACACTGAGATCCATCGCACAAGTGGGATTCTTTATAAAGTGATCCGCAATCGAAGACACATACGTGTTACGAATGGTATCGCCCAAAGAAAAAAATTTACTTAGTATTATAGCAGGTACGTGTTGTTTAATTCTAACGTCCAACCGCTGTGTCGTTCTACCTATGTAATCGCATCCACAACTACATTTGAAATGGTAAATAACAGAATTAATATGGTGGTGGTGGGTGGGGGTAGAACATCTTGACACATAGATGAAAGTACGTTCGCTGCAAATTAACACTCACGTGAACTACATGAAATACGCTTGGCGAAGGATTCACTAATCCTACCCAACCACGGTATACGAAGATAGACCGGACATTTACCCTCTGAAGCAGGTTTATATATATATATATATATATATATATATATATATATATATATATATATATATTCGTTTTCTCACAGCTACTTGAATTAACTTGAAAAATTATTTTTACCGTAGTTTTTTTTATTTTTATGGCGCTATATTTTTCCCTAAAAAAATTTTGTTTATCATTTTGGGAATTTGATTGTATTTTATCCCTCTGAAGATATATTGCGATAGACTGCCAAGTTACCAAAAATTAGAATTTTTCGACACCTACTTCTTCAACACGACAACGTTCACACCCCCAAGTGACTAATTTGAACAAAAATGCTATTCAAGTACTTAACTGAAAGTTCTACCGCACCCACTGTATTCTCCTGATTTCGCATCTAGAAGACATATTTTGCTATTTTCGAGTCGCCTTCGCATTTCAGTGCCTCCTTTTGCGTCCCCGGTTTGAGCACTACCTAGATATTTATATATTCGTGCTTACTTGATTTTGGCATTTCCAATTTCTAGTTCGTATTTTGGACTGTTACCCTTGCTGACAACCATACTCCCGTCGTAGGGAGATAACCTCGGAGATTTTGAGTGGGCAGTTCACTGCTAACGAAGTAATACGTACTTTTGGCCCCAGGCGACATCTAAGCTTAGGAAATATCTAGAAATGAACATTATGCGATGCAGACGGCAGTCGGGAATTTATAAATATATTTTATATAGAACAGTTCTTTCATTTTAGAAATAGAAATTTTAGAACTAGAAATATTGAAATGCTGAAAATGTTAACTTTATTCTTTCGCATCTGGGATATTTGAAAATAACGCTGACGACTGTCTCTTTATCATGTATAGCCCGCCGGTATCTCGAAAAATCGAGCTAATTAATACTGATAAACAGCAGATACAAGAACTGCATAATATGTGAGGTAGTGGAAAAGTTTGAGAGAAATGTAGCATAACATATAATCTTCACATAGATGGATTATACTCGGAAAAAACTATTAGAATTAACCTATTTCTCGTATATCTAATTCCCTCTCTTCCTTTGTTTTCTTACAAATTACTTTTTTTAACTTTCTGACTATTTTCTCGATCATTCTATCAAATGCAAATTTTAATTGCTTTAGTAGAATGGAAGACAAAGTAATAACGTCGGTTTTTGCATTGGAATTACAATTTATTGCAATATTTTTACTCACTAGATTCAGATTTGCCTAAAAGTCCAAATTCGATGTTGGTTGCAAAAGACATAAAACATAATTTCGGAAGGATCGTCTCGTTAGAAATATTTCGATTTTTCCACTATATTGATTGATTTATTCATTTTTTACGGTTTATCAACCCATTCAAGATTGTTTAAAACTATAAAATGTTAGAGTGTAAGAATTATATTTTCTGGAGATAATGATGTCTTGGTGATATAAGTCTTACTAATTAACCCATAGCTGGAGAGGAGAGGTAGATTCATAGTTTTCGCAAGTGTATTTGCGCCTAAGCGAATATAACGAACGCAACCGGAATTGGAACTCGGCTCTCCGATTAATCCAATGCATTACCCACTACACCACTGGCGCAGCCAAGCTTGTAACACCTGGCATTCCTAAGTCACTCGTCATCTTGCAAGTGATTTATGGTTGTTGTCGATATATATATATATATATATAATTATTTATTTAAAAATATGATTCCAACTCGTGACATAAGAGGTCTCATGTTTCAAAACAAGAGCCGAAAACTTCAATATAATTATTTGAATTAAATTGAGTTAAAGTAAGCTCTGTTCCATCTTCAAGCGAAATTTTATTTTGGAATAACGTATTTCTGAAATTTACGTGTTTTAATAATTGAAATCAAAATTTCCATGGTAACAGCTCGGGCGAATTGTTTAAATTGGGTAGGCGTGTGTTGATTGCTAATGATAAGTATCAGTATAGAGTTACTTTCATAGATGTCAAGTCAGGGGAAGGTGGGTTGTCTAAATTTGAAACGGAAAATGTATTAACCCTCGTCTAGTTAGCGTGTCTATGAAGTGTATTAGCCATCATTAAAACATAGAAACCAACACTCAACAAAATTACATTTCAAATCAACATTAACATATTACAATGCATGTAAACATATGGTTCTGTTGATAATATTTCTTTCTCTCACGACGTCCTGTACGACGTCATAGAACCACATTACGAATTTAAGACATGCGTCTACTATTCTGTGGATGTTATCATCGCATAGCAAAATTATATGTGAACATAACACTATGTCATCTTTGATGTTGAACATCTTTGTTGTAATGTCCATATGATGATGGCCCATATGATCCGAAAGCTTAGATCGACGTCCAATATAACAAAGAAATATTCAAATGTTGGACAGGTTTTGTCCTTATTTTCTCCCGAAACTAAAGCCACTGTACGAAGCTTCGGCTCATGATCAAACATAATAGACATTCGTTGTCTGTTATATTTAACAATATATGTTTGAATTTATATATATATATATATATATATATATATATATATATATATATATATATATATTTGTCATGTTGTATTGATAATGTTATAATTTATGAATATGTCCTGAAAATGGTTTATTAGACCGAAACGTCCGACGTTGACATATTAACATTAAAACAACATAATTGTATATAAGGATTTTTGTTTGTTTTTTCCGTATATATTTTTCTTTATATATATATATATATATATATATATATATATATATATATATATATATGTGTGTGTGTGTGTGTGTGTGTGTGTGTGTGTGTGCATGCTTCCAGGTTTCAGTCTGAAAAAGACTGTATATATATATATATATATATATATATATATATCTTTTATTTGGATCAAACTGTCTGAAACTCATAATAGGCAGAGAATGACAGTAACTTACTGTCCATTATACAATCATCAGGCGATCGGGTCAGAGACATAAGGAAATGCTAAGATGGTCTGCGTCCGATCAGGTTTTATACAAATTTGACCAACTGTCCAAAGATCATAATTTATTTTATTTTACACCTTTCTTGGTCAGGCCTTAAACCTCTCAACGCCATCAACATGTTCGATATAATCTTCATGATATGAGAAAGCGTCCATAATGTTTGAAAAAAAGAATAAATACATTGTTTTAAATGCAGTAAAATTACACAAGTGCAAAGGCAGTTGCTCAATAAGTCTGACAAATGAGAAACAAATGTCAATGAACAAATACGAAAAAGAAGAGAAAAATGAAATCGAACACGATCAATTTCTCTTCCACTTCCACATCTCCAACTTTCTCTCTATTATACACTGTACCTACGAACACTAATGTGTATGTCCCAATCCTCATAAATACGTTGGACATTATTGTAAGTAAGGGTAATATGCTGTCTAAGTAGTTCACCACTAGCAGTGGTTTACCTACTTCACGGCGCTGGCGACTATTGTATTTTGTTGATTTTATAAAGATTATCATTTCATTTCCAACAACCGTTTTGGTTATTCCTCATTCAATAACATTTCTTCGGCTACAACACTCTATCTATCTATCTATCTATCTATCTATCTATCTATCTATCTATCTATGTCTTGTCATGATCTATCTATCTATCTATTTCAGTCTTGTCATGATCTATCTATCTATCTAAGTCTTGTCATGATCTATCTATCTATCTATCTATCTATCTATCTATCTATCTAAGTCTTGTCATGATCTATCTATCTATCTATCTATCTATGTCACTGTGTTCATATCTATCTATCTATCCAAGAATCTTTCGACTAGTGCGGCTAATGTGTACATTAAATAATACGCACTAATCGAAAGCGTATTAATCGAATATAAACAAAATTGATAAACAAAATAGCCATTTTCTATTTTTCAATTTTTGAACATTTTTAATTAATCGGTAACTATAAAAAATCGATTTTCACTTACTATCTTAAACTGTAGATTGTTTACTGCACTAATCGAGTATTATGTATGCACTAATCGAATTTTGGTATATAAAAAATTTAGCGCACTAATCGAAAACGCAATAATCAAATACTCATTAATTGAAGGATTCCTGTATATACAAGGTACGTTCAAAAAGTTTCCGACCTTTGGACATAAAAACATCGATTTCGTACATTTCATGAATTTTATTTAATCACCTTCAATATACTTATGGGTTCACACACGTCTCCCAGCAGTTCTTCAACTACTGGAAACATATCTGAAATGTCTTCTTGGAATTCTATGGAGCTCTGTCGTCGCGTTTTCCTAATTTCCTCTCGCGACTGAAGTAGCATCTCTTTCCGTGTTGTTTTCAAATTAGGGAAGAACCAGAAGTTACACGGTGCCAAGTCGGGAGAGTAGCTGGGCCTGTCGAACAACTGAACAAAATATACACTTTTTTGAACGCCCCTCGTATATATATATATATATATATATATATTTATATATCTTAGTTCGCCTTTTTCCGTTTCTTTTTTCGCATTGTTCTGGGTGGCTCGGGCTAAGGCTACAAATTTGTCTTTCCGGCGTCTGAAACCTAAGACCAAACATTGCGTCAAAGAGATCTTGAATATCTCCGTGTAGACTGGAAGGAAGAAAATAAAATACCACCCTCATGATAAGCATAATGCCGACATTTCGATTAAGATTTGTTTTTACCGTTTCCTCTCAAAATTATTATTTGTTTACAATCCCATCTTGCTGGAAGAAAATATCTAGTGATCCAAAGAAATGAATCTCCTTTCATGTCAATAAATACGGGCACATTGTACTCCAATATGAAGCTTTGTTGATTGTGGTGCGGGTTTATGACTTTGACTGTCGAGTTGAATTGAAAAGCAAACATTATACCCAAGATTTCTTAGAATTCACTGGATCATTATAACAACCTAGTACAACTTAAATCTGTTGTAATTATTAAGGAAGCAATTAATTTGCATGAACATATTAGCTTTCTATGGTAGTGTGTGCTGGAAAATCTCCTCACAGATGAAGAATAGATTTAAGCAACAGAAATTTGGTTCTGCAGACCGATGCTGAGGATAACATGGCTCGAAAATGTGAGCAGCGAAAAAGTTTTAGAGAAAAGAGAAATAAAGAAGAAACTTATGCATAGCATCAGGAAGAGACAGTTGAAATTTCTATGGCACATAATGAGGAAAGAGGGCTTGGGAAATTTGATACCCAAAAGATAGGTTGAAAGCAATTGAGACAGAGGAGAACAAACCATAAATTGCCTAGCGAGCTTTAGTGAATTGATGATGGAACAAGTTTTAGAAGAGATAACAAAAAGGCAAAATTTGTTAAGAGCTACAAAGGACAGGAAATTGTCGAGAGCCATGCTCGCCAATGTCCTGAAGGGATACGGCTCATAGAAGAAGAAGAAGAAGAAGAAGAAGAAGAGGAAGAAGAAGAAATACATTTACATATTCTATATAACAGCTCTGTTATTTGAATAATTATTACTTCCTGATCATTTATATTCCGTTTTCAGGATGCCACATCTTCATTGAATACAGAAATATATCTTAAAAGTTGTTAGACTGTCGTTGAATCGTTAAAAAGACGGAAAAATATTTTGTGGGTGCAGAATAAGATTAACGTCAAGCGAGGAACTTGCAGATGAAAGATATATTTGGTGACTGTATGTAAAAGATAGCAGAAATGTGTTGCATATTCTGGATTCAAATATGATGCTAGAGAACTCAGCATGATTGCACAAGTACATTTAGGAAACGCAAAAAATCCATCTCTTCGCCATCAGCTATGGGTTTCAAGGTTAGAGGTAGACAATTGAAAATAAGGGTCACCATTCTAAGAGAAAGGAAGCACTGAATATAACGAAGAATCAGATTTAAAAATTGCAATCTCTCTTTCTTTTAAAATGAAATCTTTGCATTAATAAATGTTTATATATCGCGTCACACATATTAAATTACTAATTCGACTGATTTTTACTTTTTTTCTAT